AAGCCCATTTTCATCAATAAGAGTATTCACCATTATTGGCTAGACTTCATTTGTCTGTGCAAATATATCACTTGGTGAATCCCTTGGTGATAGATGAGGTGTGTCATCAATATTGCCCATACTTTTTCAGCCCATTAGGTACTTTTACTTTAACTGTACTCAGGCATTCCTATCAATAGTTTTCAATTAATCATGCCAGATTTCAAGTTTTATTCTTTGTTGTTTTTTAACAATTTGGAAACAATATTGGTTCGAAGAAATGTTTCATTTTTTGCGTCTTTTTTTTCATAAATTGTTTTTTAAATTGCAATATTTTTTTTTAAAGCATTTACCATTTCCAACTTGAGGCTCTCTCAACTGGTTAGTTTAGAAAAATTTTAATAAGGAATCGCTTGACAATAGAAGTACAACTGAATCGCTAACATCATTCATATTTTTCAAAAGTAGTTTACTCCTTGTAACATCGCTGCCGTATTAAACACTTGGATGTTCTGCTCCTAACTGCATTTATAATTCTTGAAGTTTTTGAACATTAACATGGATGGACCTTCCTAGAAATCTTTTAGGAGAATAGCAAAAATTCTTCAAATGAAATGGAACTCTTCGGTTCATGAACAACTAATCCAACACGTCTTGTCATGTTTTTTTACTGTGATCGACTGAGGACATGATGGACTACTTAATTGTTAGAAAAATCGTTGACCGATTTCCGAGTTTCTACAATTTTAAATGCGACATATTCACTTCTTTTGTGCAATCTTTTTTTAGCGTCGTTATTTGATCTCATATAGATTCAACAAAAATTCAAAATGCAGTGCAATACAAGAATTGGATTTCACTGAATTTTTTTTCCCGTCACAACGCCTGTCAACATATCCAGGCAAACCGAATTCACAGAGTTTATCGCTATTGCAAAATGAACCTTTTTTGGCGCATTTCCAACCTCTATGACATCGCTTCCTTTTGCATATAATTTCTTGAATTCCCTTCTGAAGCAGAATTGTGAGGGACATTGGATTTCTGAGGACTTCAGTCCGATATCAGCATCTGGGCTTTTGTCAAATTTTTAGTTTCTAAGAATGACACCGATTTTTTCTTGTATTTTGCTAGATACATCAAAGATATATCACAGTAGAATGAATCTTTTAAATAAGCAAAAGATGACGTAGTGTGGTTAAATTTTCTTTATAAATGTCCACACCATTACTGGTTGGTTTATCGCATTGGGCAAATATGCAAGGGGGTTTATTGGCGATAGAAATATAGATGAGACCCCAGCATCACCCGGATTCCTGCTGAAATAGAGCTTAATCATCGACGCTCCGAACTGAGTAATAACCCACTGAGCCATTTTGTCATATCGTGGCCAATATTCTAATACTGTAAAAAGTGAAATATTGCTAATACCACTGATATATTTCCACTGTCTTCACTGTTATCGTTATATGAACGCATTCACTCGGAGAATATTTTGCATCAAATAGATCTGAATATTGCTTAGGCCGCATTTTTCACCATCGTAGGAATCATTATAGTTCACAATATTTTAAAAAAATTCCGCCGAACCTCCAATCAATAGGTTTCATCAGCATTTGCTAGTTAGAATTCCTCCGCAGACTTGTCCAGCTAGACAAATATGTCTCAGTCCCTTGGCGATACAAATATAGGTGAGTTGCCAGCAGTGTCCGGATTTTCGCCAGATTAATTCTTATTGAGAATAAAGCTCAGCATGGCACTTTGAATTGAACAATAACCCAATGAACCAGTGCATTTGCCTTCTCATTTGCCTTCTCTATTTGGCGATATTATCACTCGACAAAACGTGGTTCGTTATCAAACCTCGATTCTTGGTGATATTCATCCTTTTAGCTTCGGCTTTTCTACTTCATCTGCTTCGTATAGTGGCCAATGCTGTAAACTTTTGTTGTTAACTTTTGTTGTCTTTAGAGTTTCTGATAATATACCTCTCATATTTTCGCTCCGAAATAGCACAGTGGTATAAAGGTCATTCTAAAATAGTCGCAATTGCATTAATAGTGTGGAAAACGGATTTCGACAGTAGTTGTTATTCGCGTGGCACTTGGATAAAGTGAATAATTAGCACTGAATTTTTTGTCCAATTTTTATAAATACCAGTTCAATAAAGAACAGAACGTAGGGCGAACTGAGCACTTTCGATCTCCTCAGACTTTTGTTTTCGATTCGAGAGACGAGAGGTGATTGGTTTTCTTAATATTAGCTTTTATAATCTTGGTATATTTATCGTTTGTTCCATCAAGTGCCATAGATTTTGCGCGTAGAAAACGAAGACTTCATAGCTGGAATATTATTGAATATCTAATATTTTATGCAGCATGCAGGAATCACTTAGATTTTTGTAAGGCAATTTACTGCCAAATATTTATTACTTATCAAATTTACTTAACCATTTAGCTTAACCATTTAATTAACTGCATTTTTAGCGCTTAAAGTTTTGACATTGGTGCAGATGGATGGATTCTTAGGGATATTCTATATGAATAGCAAAAATTCTTCAAATAAAGTAGAACTTTTCGATTTATAAATATGTCAGAACATTTTTATATGTTTTCCATTTATGTAGAAAAGCATTTATTAATTATGAAAATCTGCGCGGAATTTTCTCGATTTCTGATATTTGACTCGTTTTCTTATTGTGATCGACTCATGGAATAATAGACTTTACATAGATCGCTGAATTTCATGAGAAATTGTTGACCGATTTGCGAGTTTTGTACAATTTTCTTAATTTCCAATGCGATATGTTCACTGCTTTTAGGCAATCTTTTTTAATTTGATCTCAACAAAGATTTATAACGTTATGCAGTGAAATTCATCGAATTCACTATAGATTCAACAAAAATTAAAAATGCAGTACAATACGAGAATTCGATTTTATTGTATTTTTTTCTCATCGCCCTTCAGTGAGTTTGTCAGATTCGAACCTCCGCCTAGATTCTCGCTGGCAATTATGGCAATTGTCTCGGCCACTGAAGCACCTATACATCACTAAGAACTAGCAATTAAGTTAACTAATTAGATAATGAAAGTCTAATGGGAAAATTCGATTTTCGATAGTCTGCTCGTTTCTTACTGTTGTCGACTGACTGATGATAGGTTGTTTAACTGTAATTCCTTAAGAAATCGTTGATCGACTTTCTACTTTCTGAATTTCAATTTCAAATGTGCGCCATTCATTTATTTTCGGGTAAATTTTTTTTAGCTTAGTTAGTTAATCTCGCAAGAACGATTAAACATGAAATTATGTAGTGCATTTCAGAAATTGGATTTTATTGAATTTTTTTTTTTCATTTCTCATAACAACATTCATCATAATACCCAGGCGATTCGAATTCACAGAGTTTATCGCTATTGCAAGATGAATCGTGTTTGGCGCATTTCCAACCTCTATGACATCGCTTTCCCTTTACGTATAATTTCTTGAATGATTCTCCACTGTAAAATTCTTATTGAAATATTTGAAAATGCAAAAAAATAATAAAAAAATAATGATAATGATAATAGAAATAATTTGATAAAAAAAAAGTATTACTCTGGCCAGAATTTGCAAACGATATACTGGTAATGTCTTTGTGCCTTAAACTTTTTCTTTTTCTTTGTAGGAACTAAATCATGAATATTTTCCGTATCATAATCATTATTGTTTTCCGTAAAATTGCATGAAGGATTCATTGCACAACCAACATCCGTAGTTAATCCAGATGCAACCTAAAATATTGCACTCCAATCCCAATATAATAAATTTATATCAGTTTCAGTCTATCCAAAAGCGCAGTTTGTTTGCGAATCAAACCTGTATGAATTCGGCATATTCATCGAAAAATTCGCAGGTTGACAGACTATTATCCTCGAAACCGTCTTCTACTCTTTTCACCCATACCTTTAGTGCTTCATGTATCGGTTCAGCCAAGGCTATAAATATTTGAGAGATAAGAAATTCAATGAAATCGACATTCGCATTTGATTATTTTTATCGTTAATTTCTGTAAAAAATCTCTAAAGATTTCATTCATCTTTTCCATTCCATTATTTCCTTTCATCATTTCATTTCTTTTCTGATTTCTTTGCATTCATTTTCAAAAGTTACGTTTAAAACCGAGTGCTTCATGTATCGGTTCAGCCAAGGCTGTAAATGTTTGAGAGATAAGAAATTCAATGAAATCGACATTCGCATTTGATTATTTTTATCGTTAATTTCTTAAAAAATCTCTAAACAGATTTCATTCATCTTTTCCATTCCATTATTTCCTTTCATCATTTCATTTCTTTTCTGATTTCTTTGCATTCATTTTCAAAAGTTACGTTTAAAACCGCTGTTTGCAGGTCGAAATACAACGTGAGTAGCTTCTCCGATGTCTTCTTCTTCTTCTTCTGGTGGACCATTTGTACCAATACCACATTTAGAAGCTTTTTCTTGAGCCATTTTTTCTAAAGTACAATTCCATCTCTAAAAATTTAGGATGCATTTAGTTAATATTTCATACAATAATGTCAATTATCATAAATAAGTCAAAAATCAAAAACTTTAATTAATTGGTACCAACCTAAAAGGTCTACTTGAATTCTTTTATTTCTATTTAACATTTTATCTATTATTTATTATTTATTTATTTAATTATTCTTATTTATTTAATTATCAATAATTATTTCGCTATTTTCAATAAGTTTGATAAATAATGAATCGTTTATTCCAATATTTTATTCTTTATTGCTTTTTCGTGTTTTTTCTATGATATTTTGCTAAAAAATATCTTTATATCTTTGTTGTACCGAAAAAGAAAATCATTATTACTAATATAAAGAAAATGGCATTGGAATAGGATGGCTCAATAGGTTGTTCGATTCCGATTACGGATGCTATCGTTCCATTCTCGCAGGAGTAAACCTTTCCGAAAATTCCAGAGTGATGTCAGCCCATTTGTACTTCTATCGCCAAAGAATTACCTGGCATATTTGCCTACTGTGAAAAGCAGCGGAACGACTTTATCTAGTAATGGTGCGAGTTTTTTAAAAAAAAACCGCCTTCTTCTTGCTTGGTCCTTTACCGATAGCATAAATTCATTATTTAATTCAATTATAAATTGATAATTTTAAAATTAACCATTTTATACATCTCTCTACCCTTTGGAAATTTGGCGTTTTTGGTCCGAAATTTTCCATTTACAAGTTCCTTCCTGAATGTGTTTATCGCATCAACAGCCTTGTCACGATCGAAATCACGTTTCCATTCTCCAACGCACGGTCTACGTGTCGCTGAAACAAACAAATTATAAAAAAGTCTTCAGCTGAATAAGGAATTAAAAGAAAAAAGTGATAATAGAATAAATTACTTCACGTTCATTTACGATCTTGATAAAATATACAGTAAAAAAAACTAAAAAATGAAACGAATTAATTTTCAATGAAGAATTTACTTGATGGTGGTCGGTGAGCCAAACCTGAAATTCATTTTTATTAGCAAAATTTCTCATGTCATAAACTATTCTAAACGAGTAGTTTTATTGTTTTATTAGTTCAATAATCTTCTGATTTTTGCGAAAATTTTTATTATATTGCTTTTTTTAAAAATTATTTCAGAATTTTTCATTCCCATTTTGTTGCGTAATAGGATACAAAAAACCTTCTGCATAGTACCACTGTCGAAAAAATGGCCCAGCAATTAACCAATTTTTCGGTTGCGCATTATGCATTAAAGCCATTTAATGGCTTTTGCTGCACGTATTGTAGAAATCAAGAAAAAAGCTTTTCTAAACAAGTTCGCTTCTAAACAAGAAATAAAAAGCAAAAGATAATCTCCTAACTAATGAATGATAGCCATGATGGAAAACTTTTTAAGACGAAGTAAGAATCCATAAGCTTGGAAAAGAAAAAAGTGAAAAGTATGTGAAGGGAATTACCTTTTGATGAAGAAATAGGTGCACCTGAAATTCAAATCATTTTTATTAATTGAAGTATTTTTTAATCTTTTCTTATAAATTGTTCAAATTGCATGATTTAATAGGTAAGAAAAGTAAGTAATAAAATGAAAATGATTAAAAATGGAATATTTTATGATTCAACTTCTGCTTAGATTGATTGACTCAACTAATTTGTCGCACGAAGGAATAACCTTGTGAAAGGAATGCAGATGAGTTGCTGGCACAACTTGGATTTTGAATTGGAAAGGGATTACTCGGGATTTTTCATTCCTGTCAAAACTTAAAAATAAATAAAATCCATGAGCTAAGAAGCCAAAATTACAGTTATCACTCATTGAATCATTTTCTAACCTACAAGCATGAAATTCGCAGTGAATGAATTGAAAACTTACTTATCAAGACAAGAAATAAAATCAAAAATGAAATATAGCATCGCATTTTTACTGGTACAACGCTTGCGAGAAAAATGATTATTTGGCTGTGAAATGATTTCTGGCGATACCTTTAAACAGTTTTCTACGTGTATTTTGCCACAATTATATTTGTTCGGATTTTTTCAAAAGTTTTCATTTTCCTATTTGTTCGACATAGCGATTATTGTCGAATTTCAAAGATTCAACTTCAGGTTTTTGAAATATGTTACAATATTCGCAATTTTGAGAATATAGGAATTTTTGTATCATTTCTGCTCACCGTCTATTTCAGTAAATATTTGCGTCACTAATGCTATCAAATGTACGAAGTGGGATGGCTAGAAGTGCGGCATACAAAGTATATTCAGAAGAGCTTTCCAAGTTTTTAAAAGCTTTGCCCCTTTGAAAAACAAGAAATCGAAAGATAGGGTAGAAAATCAGCTAATCGTGATGAGAAAATAAGAATTTATTTATTCGAAGAACCAGGCAAATTCAGTAGTGGAACGATTCTCCGACATAATTCACTAAGTCTTTCCACTTTTTTTTTAAAAAATATTTCCTAAAATAAACAAAAACTCTTATGTTTGCCAAATAATATAATATTTTTTATATTTTAATTTCCTATATTTAAAAAAAAAATCTTTAAAAATTGAGGAAAAGAATTTTTTTTATAAAAAAATTTCGACACAATTCGTCTTATAGAAGGATTTCATAAATATTTTTTCTATATTTTTTTTGTAAATGAACATATTCAGATGGCAGAAAAATAAATGAGACTTTCGGAATCAAACCATTGTCTAAATGTAATTTATCGGTAGGATAAACTTTACGAATTAAAAAAAACTGGCAATTTTGATTTTGCAGTAATGTTCACAGCATAATCGTCATCGCCACCACACAATCTTATATTTATTCTTTCTCCCATACCAGAAAGAGCTTCTGTTGAAGGCGAATTGTAAGAGACTTTGGATATGTAAAGATTTAGTCCGACGTCTGCTTCTAGATTTTTATCAGCTTTTAGTTTTTATGAATGACAGCGATTTTTTTCTTATAGATTTGCCAGATATATTAAAGGTTCCAGCTAAGCAAGAGACGATAATGTATTGTTGGTCAATTTTTTTTTAAGAACCATCACCATTACTTGTAAATTCGCTCCGCTGGTTAGGCAATGATTATATAAAGCACTAAAGGACTTGTATTGTTATGTTTTAGTCTTTTCCGATTTTTTCTAAAAGTGTTCTGGTATACCAGTGAGTTCTTTGGTGATAGAAGTACAGGTGAGTACCCGGATTAAGTATGGATGTCATTCCATCCCGCAGTTTCTTTGCTCTATTTCACTGTCTGCATCTTTTCGCCCTCATCGCCTATCCGAGATGGCCAATAGTGGCCTCTCGAAAGTTTATATAAGTTTAAAGTTTATATAAGAAAGTTTAAGTTTAAAGCTTGGCTTGAGATATCAGTATAAAATTTTTTTTCTTATTTTTTACCTTCCTTCTTCCATTTTTTATCTACCACTCCTCTACTATAATTTGCAACTCTTACTCTCATTTTCTTATATTTAAGAATATATCCATACTGTAAAAGAGATATGTTGCAGGCGCGTTGCGAATGGCCTGCCTTAATTTATATCTTACTTCGTCATTCCACGACTGGTATCCAGAAGTAGAAGCGTGATCCAAACCTTGATTGGCATAATCAATCAGGAGAAATCAGGAGGAGAAATCAGGATGCGTCAGGTAATGTCTTGCCATGGATAGTCCCTATTCCTTCCGCTTGTCCAGCTAGATAAGTATATCAGCCTCTTAACAATACAAATACAGGTGGTTTGTCAGCGCTGCCTAATTTTTTGGTTAGATTTAATTTTGCTGGGAATACAATTTCAGCACTGGTGAATTATCCAACAACCTACTGAACCACTGCATTCTCCATTACATTCTCCATTTTGTGAAATTCCGCCCAACGAAATAGGATGCATCGGTCCGATTTAAAGCCAAGTCTCAATTCCCGGTTCCAGTTATCCTACTATTGATGCAGCATCGGTGATAATATAAGTACAATGAATTATTACTGAAAGAGAGAATTCGCTTTTAGCATGATCAATGGCCATCAGTGATCTAAACTTCATATTAAGAAGCAGAATGATGGTAGCTCTCGCTCTTGAACTACTATTCATATTCATGCGATTATCTGAAGAAGTTTAGATCTATGCAAAACACTTCGAGAGGCAATAAGTCATCTCGATATAAGACAAGCTGCATTTCGTTCAAGTGTCTTTCAAGTGTCTTTCTTCAAATAGATCGATTAAGTTCCGGATGAAGGTCTTTAGGAATCTCGTAACTTCGTATAGAGAAAGACATTCGCAGATCCATTTTTTTGATTGATTCATTGATTCATTCATTTTTTTATTCTAATCGACTGAGGAAATGATTTAGAGAAATCGTTGACCGATTTTCGAATCTGCACAATTTCTAAATTTTAACTGTAATGCATTTACCTTTTTTTAGGCAATTTTTTTCTAGTGTGGTTATTTGATCTCAAAACAGAAATTCAAAATGCAGTACAATACGAGAATTCGATTTTATTGCATTTTTTTCTCATTTTTATCACAACACTGTGTATAATATCCAGGCGATTCGAATTCACAGAGTTTATCGCTATTGCAAAATGAACCACTAAGGGCGCATTGCCAAACCTCGATGGCAGCGCTTTCCCTTTACGTATAATTTCTTGAACGATTTTCCACTAAAAAAATAATTATGAATGAAATTTCGAAGAACTAAGGCAAATAAATAAACGTTAAGAAGAAAATTAAAAAATATAATCTAAAATAAAAAATTGGTACCTCGGCCAGAATTTACAAACGGTGTACTGAACATTTCTTTCAGTTATTGCTTTATCATCTTTATATTCCTGTGTTAATATGCACGAGGGATTTGTTGCGTAACCAACATCTGTGGTTAATCCAGATGCGATCTAAAATACCGCGGTGGTAAAAATCGCAGTATGATAAATATGATAAATTTATATCAGTCGCAATCTATCTAAAAGAGCAGTTTGTTTAAGAAACAAACCTGTATGAATTCGTCATAAGTATCGAGAAATTCGCAGGTTGACACGCTATCACCCTCGAAACAATTTTCCTCTCTTTTTACCCATTTTAGTGCATCCTCTACAGGTTTATCGAAAGTTATAAATAATCAAATTAAATTAAATCATAAATAAATGCAATGATAAGAATTTCAATAAAGTCGTCGACAATTGATTGTTTCTTTGTATTTTATCATTTCAAAAGTATTTTATTAAGATAATGTTTTTAAGGATTCTCTGAGTAGAATTTGTTCCAATCTTTCCAATTCCATCATTTTATTTCACCTTTTCTACAATTTTTCTCGAAAATTTTATCGAAAAATTCCACTTGTAGGTTGAAGCGAAATGTGTGTAGCTTCGCCAATGTTTCGCTCATCTTCCACTGATAGTGCATAATTACAATCATTTACTTTTTGTTGTGCCAAAACTTGTAAAGTACAATTCCATCTCTAAAAATTCGATGGAAATATGCAAATTGGCGAGCGAGTGAATTTGCATAAATCTTACGACAAGCCGTTCCAAAAAGCCAAAAACTTTTCGCTAAACTTTCATTAGTGGTCAATAATCTAAAGATTTTCGTTTCTAAAATAGAAAATAAATAAAAATTATCTGCAATCTGGTTAAAACGATTAAATAATACTACTTAGCTTATTTTTATTTGCATTTGATAAGTCTTATTAAGTCTTAAAAGAGGCCACGGGCACCAATCGGACTTCCATAACGACAAATTTTATTTTTGTTATTTGGAGGGAATTGAATCCATGATATTTGCAAATGCATTCTTTTAGCAGGTTTAGCAGGTAATTTAGAAGTTGGAACTTCTTTGTATTTAGTTGTTAATCGCAAAATAAAGTCTCTTTCGATTATATAAAAACTTATTTGTCTAAAAGATTTTTCCTTTTCATTCACTAATGTAATGGATTTTAAATGGAAAAAAAAACTCGGATATTTGATTCACATCGTTCGAAAAAAATCACTTTTTCATAATTGATAAGAAAATTTTGAAAAGTTTACAATTCAAAATATCGTTTGATTTAATTGATACTGACAAATTTGAAAAATGCAGTGATGAAAGATGAAATGATTAGATGAAATGACATCGGATCGAGAGGCATTGAAACTTCTAAATCGTTCTACCAAAACACCAAATCAGAACACCATAGGCCCCAAACCTGAGTGAAAAACCTGAGAGTGGAATGTTCGTTGAATAATTTAGCCCATTTTTGATTATCTTTAATAATTTATTATATATTTTATTTTATTGCATATATTATTTTATCTTACTACTTTTTTTCATATTGTAACTATTAGAATAATGTAATTTATCTGAACTCATTGAAAAATATTCGTGAAAATGCATCTATGCTTCTATGTTGCCACCTTTTTTATTGATCTTTCAACGCCATTAATTATTAAAATGCTTCTGATATTTAATTAGTTATTTATTCAATTTTGTTTGATTAAGATTTTCAATTTTTCAAAGATCTTTCAATTTTTCAGATAAGCTTTCTTATCAATAAATTTTTGTCAATTAATAGGATTCACTTGATTTTTTATTATCAAATGCTTTAACAAATCAACTTGTAATGCAGGATCGATAAAATAGTTTCGTTGAAATTTTGCATATTTTGTAAAAATGTTTCGAATTTGTAATTTTTAAGTGGTAGATTTTTCTCGAGTAATTTTTTAAAATCACGAAAAATCATTCTCTGATTCCTGAATTTTTTTTAATTTTTAAGTTTTTAATCTTTCATTTGATCTAATAATAAAGATTTCGAATGAAGTAATCAAAGCAATCATCGTTTTCCTTCTTTATATATTCTTCCTCGAACATTTCTCCACTAAAAAAATTTCCATGTGAACAATTAAAAGGAAATTTAATTTAAAAATATAGAAAATAAGTGAGAAATTATTATCTCGGCCAGAATTTACAAACGTATAATTAAAAATTTATATTCCCTTAATCTGAAATTTTCCCAATGCAACCTAAAATAGAACATCCTAATATTGGAAATTCATATATAAATCAACCATAATTAGTCTAAAAAAAGCAATTAGTTCTAAAATCAAACTTGTACTTACAAGTTTGATACATACATACATACATACATCACACATCATTGATCACTGATAGATTTGATCACTGATAAATCGGCTGGTTAATAGGCTAACTTTCCCACTATAGTAAATTTTTTATATAATGTTTATTCAATTTTTTACCTATGTCATGGACTGGTCTATTTATGGTTGCGCAGACAAATAAATACGCAGAGAAATATTTCAAATTTTTATTTTTCCCTCGAATATCTGTTTTTGAGTTTGAACTTTTTTTAAATTTTGCAATTATTATTAAGTGCTTTCTCTTCAGTCAAAGCTCGTAAAGTACTATTCCAACTTCAAAGCAGAATATACATTTTGCGAGTGCCTAAACCAGTAAAGGAAAGCATTAAGCAGAATATACATTTTGCGAGTGCCTAAACCAGTAAAGGAAAGCATTAAGCAGAATATACATTTTGCGAGTGCCTAAACCAGTAAAGGAAAGCATTTTTGACTTCTTATTAACCGTTATTAAAATAAATATAAAAATCTGGCGTTCCAATGAATGAAGGAAAAAGAGAAATAATTTAAAATAATAATAATTTAATAATTATAATTAATAATTTAATTTATAATTAATGATTATAATTAATAATTAATAATAATTATAATAATAAAATTTAATTTAAATAATTTTAATATTTAAAGATTATAAACAATTTCCCACCACTCTTTGGAAAGCAGACATCTTTGGCCCAAAATTTTTATTTTCGAAAGCTTTGTTCAAAATTTATTTAAAGCTTAAAAAGCTTCCTTATGGTACTGTGGAAGAAGGAAAAATAAAAATTTGAAATGAAAATTTTTTTCCATTTTTTAAAAAAAATTATTCTACAAATTTGAAAACAATTTAAAGCAAAGTGAAATGAAAATTAAAATGGATAAATCACTTCCATTTCCATTCGTAGCTTTGATAAAATAAATGTAAATAAAAAAAATTCCTATAAAATAAAATTTTTTAAAAAGGAATTTAAAGAGGCGATCGAATTTATTTTTTATTCATTCATTTTATTTTATTTATTTATTTTATTTATAGCAAATTTATTTATTTATTCAGAAATTCTTTTTATAGCAAATGAATGAAGAAGAAAGGAAATAATTTAAAATAATAATAATTTAATAATTATACTTTTAAATAATTATTAAGAATTATAATAATTATTATAATAAAATAATTTGATTTAAATAATTTTAATGTTTAAAGATTTTGTATTATTTTTTATTATTCCTTCGAATATTTATTTTCATTTTTTTCCATCATTTTCATTTTTATCATTAATCACTTGTTTTACATCACTTGTTATGTTTATGATAAAAAACAATCAATATATTTAAAATTTTTAGAAACAATTTAATTACGACAATCGCTAGAGGCTGTGAAAATTTGTGAAAGACTAAAGGCCAAAAGGTATTTTTTGCTAGAGGCTATGAAATTCTGCGAAAAAATAAATATTGAATTGAATAATGAATAAAATTTTTGCATTTTTTTGCTGTTCTGCCAAAAATTTTATTATATTGTTATATTTTATTATTAAATTTTATTTATATTTTATTATTGAAAGGTTCAGATTCATTTCCTTTCAGGCGTTTTAACTGTGCAATAGGCATTGGCGTGGATGTAAGAATATGCTGCAGCTATTTTTGTTTGATTGCATACAATTCTATTGCTTGATGGCTCTATCGAAACATTGGCCCAACATTTAAAATAAACTTTTAGGAAACTTATTTCTAAAAAAAAAGCTTTATATATTTTTGATTTGGATTTTATTTTATTGATTTGGATTTTATCTTATCACAAGAAAGATTTTGGGTAAAATTTTACAAATGAATTGTTTGTTTTCCTGATAATTTCTGTTGCTTGTCATCTAATGGAAAAAGTAAAATATAAGAATAATCTTCTTTCTGATAAGCAAAAAATAAAATGATAAGATGAAATGCAAGATAAAATGAAAATCACATGGGATTCTTAGTTATATTTGAATATGTATTTAGAATCATTCTTTAATGAAACTTTGTATGAAAATAATCGCAAACATATCGCAAAACACAGAGAAAGATCATTTTTTTATCGAAAATTTTTTATAAATCAGAAAAAACTTCGAAAGAATAAAAAATATAAAAATATAAGAATATGAGTTCACCTGACGAAAAAGAAACCTGAAATTCATCTTTATTAATAGAATTTTAATCATTTTTAATTCAACTTTTTAATCATTTTCTTTTAAAATATATTAAGATTTTTTCAAAAAAATAAAAAAAAATTGATGAAATCTTACACGCTTCTGGTTAGACGGCGCTAATTTACCGGTCTAAACAAATTTTGACAGGAAATCTTTCAGCGATAGAAGCACAGATTAGCATCACTTGGATTTTTGAAAGATAGGTTTAGTCTTGCATGAAGTTGAACCAAACATTGGCGCTCCAAAATGAAGAAGACGCACTAAGCTAATTCACCATCAAAGAAGATAATTGTAGTATAAAAGACTTAAAAACTAGCATATCAAGAGGAAAAATGATGTCGAAAGTTGCATTATAAATATTTTACAAGCATTTATTCTATGTAATGCTCTTAAAGGCTTTTTCTACATAAGATTTTAGTTCAATAATTCGCTTGATCTTTATCATTTGATAACTTTGATAACTTGATGACTTTTTTATTTACTCGTTGCAATGATCAATGTTTTTTAGAATTTTGAAATTTATTTTTGAAAAAAATAAGTATATTTTATGTAAATAGATATCACTTATGATATATTTACATTGCCTTTTATTATTTTAATATTTTTATTTTTAATGCAAACATATTATGGTAGAAACAAAAATGACCAAAGAAGAGAATAATGGTAGAAGTAAAATTGAATAGCATTAGTCGAATTGCAATTAAAATAATAAATTTATTAAATAAGCCAAACTTGTGGCGTTTTATTTCATCTTCAAGTTTTTTTACAATTATTCAATTATGGAAATGCAGAAAATCACTTTTGATTTTATAAAAATATATATATTATAAAAATATATTTATATTTATAAAAAATAATTTAAATATTTATAAAAAAATATATTTATATTTCTCCTTATTCAACATATGAAATATATTTGAAATAGAAATCTTAAAACTCGGATATTAAAAAAAAAAAAATGTTCGAAAAAAATCTTCTTTTAAATTTTTTAATGAAGAAATCCTGTTGCAATTGAAATTTTTTAATTTTATTGAAAACAAATCAGAAAAATTTTATCAAAAAAAAAAACAATTAAAATTATTGTTGCAAATCATAAGGTTTAAATATTTAATTGAGTTTAAGAATAATATTTTTGAAAAATAATTATCCCACAAAATGAAATTTTTTTTGATA